TAGCTGGGACTGCAGGCGCCACTACACCCAGCTAATTTTTCTATTTTTAGTAGAGACGGGGTCTTGCTCTTGCTCAAGCTGGTCTCGAACTCCTGAGCTCAAGCGATCCTCCTGCCTCGGCCTCCCAGAGTGCTGGGGTTACAGGTGTGAGCCACCTCACCCCACCTATGTTCTTACTTTGTAGAATAACTGAGCTAAATTATAACCATTGAAACTGTTGGTAACTGTCACCCAACTGCCCTCCAAAGATGGGCCCGCTACACTCCCACTAACCCTGGTGTGAGTGGTCGCCTCTGTCGACAGTGGGTGTCAGGAAGCTCCTAAGTCCCTGTGCGCGAGGCAGGCGAAAACTGGCTTTCCACATATAAACACACGCACAAGCACGTGCAGACAGACGCACACAGCTACACGCACACGGACGTAATGCAGAGGGAAGGAAGGGTCCGTTTCCTTCAGAGGTACACACGGAAGCCTCTGCAAATCACTCTGGTGCTAGAACGGCTTCGTGTAGGAGACAGACGGGCCGTACCCGTAGCTGCTGGCGCTAAACAATGGGTGACCTGAGCTTATCACTCTACTTTTGTTAGTGTAAAAATCCCCAAAGTACTGTTAAACCATTCGAAATTGCCATTTCTGCGGGTCAAAATGGTGCCATGTCAGGACGTCCCGTGGTTCAACCTCATATGGGTTTTGGGCTGACACCTTTTCCCACGTCCCTGAGCCAGGGGTGAACCTCTGAAAGTCCCAAGCAACCCCCAGTCCCCGTGCCGGGAACGGGGCCGTCCGCGCGCCGCCCCGCAGCCCCCCCGCAGCCCGCGGCGGGCACTCACGGCTCCACAGCGAGTAGGCGAGGCGGCAGTTGAGGCGGCGGTAGAGCTGCTTGCTGACGGGCCAGACGGCCAGCGTGCAGAGCTGCGCGAAGTTGATGACCAGCCCGCTCACCACGAACACGAACCCGATGAGCAGGTGCACGACGAACTGCGTCTTCAGGAAGGCGAGCAGGCCCATGGCCGCTGCTCAGGAGCGCGTGCAGGGCCCGTCGCTGAGAACAGCCGTCCTGCGGGACAAGGACAGCCGTCAGTGTGCGCCGCCCCGCGGGGCCGGGGACCGGGGCGCAGGCCCGGGAGGAAGCCCTGGTATCAGCCAGTGCCCGGGGCTGCTGCTGACGGGGTGAGCCACGCGCACCCTTTCCTTCCAGAAGGAATGGAAGGCGGGGACTTGCAGTGGTCACCTGTGCGTTCCACACACACACCACACTACACGTGCCACGGCACACCCCACACACGCGCTACACATGCCACATCATACACACAGGCGCTCACACACACCACACGTACCACATACTGCACACGCCACGGCACACACCACACACGCACAACACATACACCACACCACACATGCCACGGCACACACATGCACCACACACTGCAACACACACATGCCACATCACACACCCCACACCACAACACTCACAGGTGCTCACACACACCACACATACCACATACTATACGTACATATATTCACACACACACCACACACACACTACACATGCCACACCACACACCACACACACACCACACATGCCACATCATACACACAGGCGCTCACACACACCACACATACCACATACTATACGTACATATACTCACACACACCACACACACCGTGACACAGGCGCTTGCAAACACCACACACACCACATACTGCACATGCCACATCACGCACACAACATACACACACACTCCCACACACCACATCACACGCACACCAAAGACACCACTCACACACATCACACACCCAACGCACCACATACTACACACACCACACCATACACACAATCGCATACCACACACACAAACGTGCCATACTCACACACATACTCTCCCAGGCAAACAAGAAAGAAACAAAGAAAAAACTAGAAGAAATGCACCCAAATGTTAACAGTGATTATTTCCAGGTAAAGGCGTTATGAGTACGTTTTATTTCATTTAGTACCTCATTTAAAAACAAGATGGAAGCTGCCCGTGGAATCTCCATAAAACACCTGCTAATTCCTCGGGCTGGGACCGTGAGCTCTTGTGCATGCCTTCGGCTAAAAGCCTTCGGTTTCCACACACGAGGAGGCCTCCCCGAGAATGTCACGGGTCCCCCTTCCCGCGACACGCGCCTCCTAGTTTCACAGCTCGGGCAGCGGCCGGCTCACACTTCCCGGCTGTGTTAGAGCCACGAGCTGCCCTGGGATTGTCCCTGCGCAGAGGGGCGCAGCGGAAGCCGCGATCCAAGCCCGCAAAGCGAGGGCCAGCCATGCTGCCGACCCCCAGACCTGGTCCTGGGAAGGGTGCCCTGGGCCCGGGCCACGGGGCAGGGAGAGGGGACTGGCTCTGCCATCGCCCCAGCAGCCCCTCCACACTCCCAGGACCCTGCTTTGCATTACGAGCTGAAGGCACAGGGGCATGGGAGCCACTGCCCACGCCGCCCTCGTCCCAGGGCCTGGAGAAGACACGTGGACACTCGCCCCCGCCCAGCGCCCCTCTGTGCAGGCGCCGGGGCGGTGAGGCGGCCACCGCTCCCGCCCGCCCTCCTGCCTCCTGGGGATGTGCGGAGACGCTGCCTCCCCCTGCACTCGGGCCCACGGAGGGCGCGCTCCCACCGCCCCCACCGCCCCCAGATGCTCTCGAACGTGTGGGGCATAAAAAGTCGCTTCCCTCCAGACACCAGGCCCTCCACGCTGCAACGCGGCCTGCAGCTCTGCCTCTTCCCAGCAAGCTCTGGTCGGGCTTTGCAAACACTTTTGCTCCTCCCTTCAGCATTGGAGCCAGTTTCCTCCCCTTTCTGACGGTGGTCTGGATTGGTGACCTCTCCTAGCAGACAAACTCACACAAGTGACACTATGTGATTTCCAAGGCCGGGCCGTCATAAAAAGGACAGCTTTTGCCTGGGGAAGCCACTGCCGTGCCACCAGGACACGCGAGCAGCAGGTCCTGTCTCTGGAAAGAGCCACCTTGGAGGCAGGTCCTCTGGCCCCAGTCGAGCCATCAGACGACCACGGCCGGACTGTCAGCTCAGCAGCCACCTCCCCGGCAAACCCCAACCAGCCGCTAGGTTGCTCCCGCACTGCCGACTCCAGAACCGCGGGGATGGCACATGTTCCCTGTTTCACACCAGTGTCCGGGTCATTCGTTCAGCAGCAGAGGAAATCGATGCGCTACTCGAAATACACAACAGGGACAACGACAACACTTCCTAGGGGCTTCTCTCTGTTGCAGGGTCTGTGGCAAACATCCACGCACATCCCACTGAACTCACGCCACCCACACGTGGACACCACCGTCACCCCTACTCGAAAGCTCAGCACACTGAATCGCAGACACGTGGGGACTTGCTCGGGGTCACACAGTGAGTCAGCGGGAGCCAGACGCCGGTCCGGGCAGCGATGCCTGAGAGCCCGTGCTCATAACCTGGCAGCCTGCGCCCCTCGACACGCACGGGGTCCCTCGGGGCAGGGTCTCAAACACGTCAGGTGGGCCAGGCTTGATGTCTCAGAACGTCTTCCTTCCACCAGACAGGACGTGTCTGACCAGAACGTAAGCTGCACAAGGGTGGGGACGGCAGGCCGGCCCCGCACAGTGCTCCTGGGGTCAGACCGCCACAGCATGCACCGCAGCTCACCCTGGACCGCGGAGTCGCCCTCCACGAGTGGACGTACCAGTCATGCCACCTGCTGACAGGCACTGGGGTAGACCAGCCTCTGAGGGTCACGAGTAAAGCCAGCACGCACGTTCACGTGTGGGTCTCTGTGTGGACACGAGCTTCCACGCAAGAATCTGTCTCATGGTGACAACTGTTCCTGGTATCATAAAGTGGCCGGTCCCTGGTCCATCACCTGAATCTCCGGACTAGAAGATCTTTGCACAGAGTCCCCGGGGAGCCCACACCCACCCTCTCAGCAGCACTTCTCACGGCCCTGGTGCCACCCACACTCACTCCGCCTGGGACCCTGGAATCTCAGGTCCAGCTTGACCCAGAGCTCAAAGTCTCCAGGGCGAACCGACCCTCAAAAAGGGCACACGGAGCCAGCCAAGTGCCGGACTCGGTGGGGGCTGGCTGCTGCCTTCGAGCTCAATTCTGGCGGCCAGACCGCCACCTGCTCCATGGCCCACACCCCTGCCCGGGCCACCCGCAGGCACTGAGACAGTGTCCGATCAGCTACCCACCGGCTCCCTGGCACCTTGCCACATGTTTCCGTGCTGCCACTCGCCTGGGTCAGCAGTCTCCACCCTTGGAAGCCTGAGATACAGGATCGAAACACCTGGCTCCATCGCCTACCGGGGACCAGGCCGCACCCTGAGGAACGCAGGCTGTTCCTCAATGTCAGCCCATCGCACGTGGGAGACTCTCCTACACGGTGCCCCACACAGACTGCCTGGACCCCGCCGTGTCTCTGGCCAGCGTTGTTCCTGCTCACAGACCTCCCCGGGCGCCCAGTCCCACCTCCCAGCGCCCAGCCCTCCGACCTCCCTGTGAGGACGTGCGTGCGCCTGACCACACGGCCCTTCAACAGTGGTGGGCAGAGGCCGCCACCCCGCACACAGGCGAGGGGGAGGATGGGGCTGGGCCCCCCCCCACCGGCCATGCCTGCCCCATCTCCGCTCCAAAGGCCTCCAGGCTGTCCCAGCAGGAAAGGGTCGGTGAGGGCCCCAGACTCAGTGGCCCCCAAAATCATTTGCTCATACACCCTCTAAAGCAATGTTTCAAAAATCATGTACCCCAATGTTAAGCTCACTTCTACATTTCTAAACCTAAGTTCAAATATGCAAGGGCTGTAGATTCTGGCATATTGTAAGTTTTGACTTTTTCAAGCACAGCTTTATTCTTTAAATACAGCCAATGGGATCTAAATGCCGCTGGTCTGACAGCCGGCGGCGGCACGGGAAAGAAGCTCTTCTCAACAGCTGGGGGTTACTTCGTCCCGTTTGCTCCCCGGATTTGAAGCTGCTCTGCGGGGTTTGTCCTCACGTAACATACCGGAGTCTCTTTTGTTTGATATTATGCTTGAAAGTCTTTATTGTTTACCCTAGCCTAATATTCTGCAATGAAAATATGTATGGACGTTTAAAATTAACTCGTATACTTCTTATGCACAGGCTTTGAATTAAAAATCCTCTGAGCTGCTTCACGACGTCCCTCCTGAACATTCCAGCTGCCTCCTAAGGATAAGGACACTCTAGCGACCACAATACCATGATCACTGACACGAAATTTAATATCGATATAAGAATATTATCAAATATCTCATCCGTATTCCAACTGCACCCATTGCCCCCCCAACGACCCTCATAGCCTTCCCCACGCAAGGCCCCGTGGAGACCACACGCACTGGGCTGGAGGGGTGTCTTTATTGCCTTTAACCGAGGCCCCCTCCCCGGCTGTCCGGGCCTGACGGTCGTGCAGAGTCCCAGGCAACCGCGTGCAGCCCGCCCACGGCCCGCATCCGTGTGTGTTCCCACAAGTAACTGGCTCAGCATCTCCGGCCAAGGATGCGCTGCAGGGTCCATCGGGCACTTCCTGCCACATCCCATCGGGGCACTTAATGCCACTTTACGGCTGATGCAAGAGCCATCACTTGGTGAAGGTGGCGCCACCGGATGACTCCAGACGTCAGCGCGCAGTCTGGGGAGAGAACCTGAGACGGTGCTGACACCGCCCCGGCACCCCTCACCCCACGGTGGCGGCCGACACACAGCCAGTGCCAGCAAGATGCCAGCCTTCGCCGCCGTGAAGTTGGCCGCGCCTGTTCTGAGCCACGGCGACGCCTTCGGCCGGAGCTGTAGGAAACCGTGTCCGCCCGCGAGGCGTGGCCAGCACAGAAGCGAACGCGACGTTTCACACAGGCGGCGACACATGGCCCGGCTTCGAGTGCCGCTGAGCGCCTGTGCGCGCTCTCAGAAACGCGACACGCCCTAATCCATTCCGGCATGAGAGACTCTGCCTGATAACATAAATCACGGAGCACAGACAGGTCCGAGGGGCTCCTCCGTCCGCCGCCCACAGGGGCAGC